AAAAAAAAAAAAAATCCACACAAGCAAGAGCAACCTGACGCAGTTCGAGTACTCGTATAGACAAGCAGCACAGGCCATCTGTGCTGAGTTAATGTGCTATATGCTGTTTTCACATCTAAAAAGACCGTAAAGCTGACTAGTCGCTTTTTTTGTTGGCTTTTTTTTGTTGGCTTTTTTTTGTTGTTGTTGTTCTGAGCAAATGTTGCCACCAACTGCACTAAAAGTGGTGATTTCAGATAGTTTTGTGCATCCTACTGTAAACGGCGCGAGAACAGGTTGAGGGGAGAAAACATACAATTAACATCTATGCGGTTCTCTGGATAGAGAAGTACCCAACAGTGGTGGCAGGATGCATGCAGGTGAGGCAACTGAGAAAGAGTGTTGTGCGTTTTAAAATATTTAAAAAGGGCGGCTTCGACGCTTCAGGTTGCCACACGGGGAGTAGAAACATGGCACAGATATCAAAAGACGTCAGAGAGCTGCTTGGGATAATACTGTCTAGGCTGCGGAGTTCAAGTACACGCAAAGCAATCATATTAGTTATTGTGACATGAATCTGCCAGATGTGACTGTTCTCAAACATGGCTCTGGAACTCTGTAGGAAAAGACATAAAAAACAACAAAAACAAGAAGAAAAAAAAACAGGACGTGGAGTTCCTTTCATGGACCACTGGCAACGGAAAACATACATCAACAAAGTCAGATTGGACTCGTTGCTGGAGTCCCATGTGACTCGACACAGCACCTAGAGACTAACATACAGTACATTATATACCTAAAGACGATTGGTGGACAAGAGGTGGACGGAGGAAAAGCAAGTGCCTGCTGTGATTGCTTATTGTTAGTGTGCATGTGTGTCTCTGTGTGTGTGTCTGTGAGTGAGTGGTTAGATACGAACATGAGAATGTGTTTTTTTTATAACCACAGAAAACCAGAAGGACCAGACCAAAAATCTAAATCTGACACCCCGCCGCCCCCACCCAAGACCCAGAATCTTTTATCAATCAAAAACCTCGGTGCTCAACCCGCACCCTCATCCCTAAAAAGAAATAAAAAGTAGGTATGGGTGTGGTCGCTGGATGCTTTCTTCCAGTTTTCTTCTTACTTCTTGTTCTTGAGTTGATTGGCCAGCCAATCGAGGCCCTCGTAGAGGCCATCGCCGCTGGTGGCGCAGGTGGCCTGGATGTACCAGTTGCGATGACGCAGAGAGTGCAAGCCCAACTTGTCTGTGATCTCTGCGGCATTCATGGCGTTTGGTAAGTCCTGTCAAAGAGCAGACGGGTCAGTGAGGAGAGAAAATTGCGCTTTCCATCTCTGCGTGGATGAATTTTCTGCATGTTTTATTTTGACTGGAGTATTATTATTACTACTTTGCAATACTCCAGTGTTTTCACAGGAGCTTTAGAGAGTAGTATTAGTAGTTATTCTCTAAGTCTTCTTCTTTCATAGGAGTATTAGAGAGTAACTTTTCTGTAGTAGAGTCTAAGAGTAGTCCTGTGAAAACACAGGAATATTAGAGCTCTTTAACAGAGCATAACAATAGTATTTAAAATATAATAATAGTATTATTACAGAGTAACTAATCTCTAAACTGCTCTATAATATTCCTGCTTCATTAGATAGTAGTCTTAAGACATTAGATAGTAGTCTTAAGACATTAGAGAGTAGTCTTAAGACTACTCTCTAATATTAGAGCTTAGAAAGTAACTGCTCCCTAATACTCCTGTGAAAACCCTTCTCGATGTGAAATATCACATGATGTTAATTATAAGTCTGCACCTAAATATCACTGACCTCACTAATGTGACTAGTAACATCTGTGATTAACCATTAGTTCATGTCACAATGACTGTTTTACTACCTTTTTACTACCCTGGTAATGATTACAACTCACACTATAATTTAATGCCACCTAATTTCCAGAACTGCTTTAAAATTACACAGATGAGGAAGCTGGTATTTAGGGGCTCACCCTCTGCTATGAGCCTGCTATGTGTATGAATATACATAACACTAGATTCTCTTGCCTGTTTATTAGCAAACACGAGGAGCACGGCATCCCTCAGCTCGTCCTCAGCCAGCATCCTCATCAGCTCCTCTCGCGCTTCGTTCACACGCTCTCTGTCATTACTGTCCACCACAAAGATTAGACCTGCAGCGGCAAGTGTAAGAAACAAAATAAACCATTTGCATTAGAAGAAGAGAAAAGCAAGCGCTTACGTCGCTGTGACCCTCTGATTAGCTTCGCTCACCCTGCGTGTTTTGAAAGTAGTGTCTCCAGAGAGGACGGATCTTGTCCTGCCCACCCACGTCCCACACAGTGAAGCTGATGTTCTTGTATTCCACTGTCTCCACGTTAAACCCTGAAATAAGAGGTCACACAGTGCGTGAAGCAAAACATCATATCCACTGTTGGCTGACGCGAGTAGAAAGCTGGTTCCACATACCGATTGTTGGGATTGTAGTGACTATTTCCCCCAGTTTGAGCTTATAGAGGATCGTTGTTTTTCCAGCAGCATCAAGCCCCACCATCAAGATCCTCATCTCTTTCTTCCCTATGAGGCTCTTCAGCAAATTCCCAAAAATGTTCCCCATGATTCAGACGATGTTCCTAAACGTCAGTTTAAGTGCTTGAGGCCTTTCTGCAAAGTGTCAGTTGTCCAGCGGGGATTGATATTTTTTTTTTAGGAGGGCTGAAAAGAAACAGACATTGAGAAGCAATCATGCTGGTCTTAATTATTAACATGCTGGAATGAGACAGAATGATTAACGAGCCAAACTGTCAAGTCTGTTAAATTACAATCCAGTAAATACTCTGGCTCACTCCTCCTCTCACCTCTCAAACGCTAAAATGACAAAATCAAGCCAGAGAAATCTCACTTCTACATGCACGCAGCAAGACAGGTGCAAAGCTGTGTTACTCGCCCACAGTCATTATCACAGAGCGGGTGATGGAGATGCCATGACTCCAGGCTTCAGCACAATCTGTTCAGACCCTTTCTGATGCTTTTTTCTCCTTCAAATGTTAGCCTGTAATGGCGCCAAGCCCTTAAAGCACATGAAAAATGTCCTATATTACAGAGCGTGGCTTGAACACATCTATAACAAAGCCATCTGGTCATAAGCAGGGACAAATGACTAAAATTCTCCCTTTAGATTACTTTTACACCGAGTCATATCAGGCACAAATAATGATTTTTAAAAAAGTGAGTGTAAAATCTGTACAGCACGAAGGGGAAAGGAGGGATAACCTCAGGGAAAGCAGCAAGAGGAAGGATATTTCTTTCAGGGTGGACACAGCAAGTAGAAATAGTCAAATGACAACTCAAGGGGCAAAAATAACTAAAAATACTCAACACAGGTGGGATTTCTTTTCTAAGGCTGCAAAATATGCTCTGCACACTCCACCTAAGTATTCGAGTAAGGTCACACAAGCCAAAGACGAACAAATCAAATGAAACTATAAAAGGTACTCAAACACTGTTAATTGTATGTTTATTTTTAATGTGGACAAGAGCTGCCCAATGCCTAGTTTTTAATATGTTGTAAGTGCAGTAATTAAACAGTCCTATGCTGACAGCTATTTAGAAAGCGAGTAAACAGGCTCAGTAAGGTGAAATTTAAGACTAGAAAATATAAGTAAATGAGGACTTCCTGCTGCCCTGTCCATGGTGCTGAACACGATCGGCACCCTGCTGCTGTTTCTGACACCAGCTCATCTCCTCATCCAGCTACCGCAGGTTCAAACACGGCATATTTCATTAAATGGTGATCTTAGGTGGGCGAAGGGCCGCAATGTGCCGGTCTGATAGAATTCATTCAGCTGCCAGTGACTCAGGTTAGCCCGGAATGCTACGTTAGGTAACCCTTACACGGGGCTCCTGTAAAATCTCTCGTCTTTACCCAAGCTTAGTTATCGCACAAAGTCGCGCCTTTCCCCCCGAATTATCGCTTCTATAATAACTCCATTTATCAGTCTGGTTTGTTTCAATCGCGGAATCAATTAGACGTGACGGTAGCTAGCGTGCTGATCCGCCCCATTCATCCATCCGTCCGCTCATCACCTCAGCGGGCATCCGGCTGCTAGCGAGCCGTCACTCGCTGTTACCCGGACGGAGTATCCGGGTAACAACTAGCCTAATACATCCCCCACCGGACAGACATCTGCTCCACTACAGTTTCATCACCTGCCGGGAACTACGTGGATTTTTGTTGTGCTGATGGTGGAGCCAGTATCCTCACTTACCTTAGCCGAGCAGTCCTCTACTATCAACGTCTCACGACACTTTCCGAGAGAAGCGACTCAGCAGCAAGCGGGATCTCGCGAGAGCAGGTGTCACTTCAACAGTACAATACGACCAAAAGGTTGTAAAGACTCTTCTCTCTGTTTTTCTTTTCTTTTAAAAACAAAACCAGGTTGTCTGTAATATTATTATAGTTAACTAAAACGTCACGTAAAAGAGCGAACCGTGAATTTTAGTTAGCATTTTGGTTAACTGAAATAAAAATAGAAACTAGACTGAAACACAAAAAACGGGAACTCTGTGAAAGGATGCTGAGCAAGCTACTCAACACTAATAAACATTTAAAAATGTATAGGGAAGCTGTCCTTTATTTTACTCTTTAGCAAATGGGTTGTCTGAACCTTAATCATGAGGCTTTGAGATGTCTATGACTGAGATCTCGATTCAGTAAACTCTTTAATGGGTTATCTATTCTAAACTACTGAAATCTTGCCCGTGGCAAACAGCCTTTAATAATTAAAAAGGTTAAAACTAACAACAAAACCAATACAAACAGCTAAATGACAAAGAAGTAAAGGAAGTAAAGAAGATTAAAAAAAAAAAAAAAAAGGAAGTGAGGAGTGAAAACAGATAGATACAGACTTTATTAATGCCACACTGGGGAAATTCACTTGTTACAACAGTACAGGGGTCAGAAAGAAAAAGTGAATAAGATATATTTTAGAAACAATAAAAACCTTGGGTCTTGAGCATTATTGAGTGGGCTGTGGACAGCCAGGGTCTCCTGTGTGTCTCCCTGTCCACCTCTGGCTCTCAGTGGGGGGAGTTTTTGCAGTCTCTCACCCTCATTTTCAAGTGTTTCATGACAAGCACTCATTGACACTCCCCTTCTCTCTCTCTCTCTCTCTCTCTCTCTC